TGAGCAGAGAGGAGAAGTCAGGAGACATGGAGCTAGTTCAACATCTGCAGGATGTTTTGTCTTTTCCAGGGTTGGTAACATCTGTGGACACCTGGTAGAACATCCTTCTTCATGTGCTGGTTCCACAGAGCTGCAGGACTTTAGATTGTAGTGAAACGTGAGCCCCAGGGAGGAAACATGAAACACGGTTCGGAGGGTTACTGGTCTCAAACCTTCCTGTCTCATTCCTTTAATCCAGAATTCTCCAGAAGTCTGCTACCTCGTCCAAGGCGACTACTGTTATTGGTCAATCCCTTCAGTGGGAGGGGCCAGGCGATGCAGTGGTGTCAGACCCACATCCTGCCAATGATCCGAGAGGCCAACATCAGCTACAACCTCATACAGACAGGTAACGCCTCACCTGATCACACACACGCAGGTGAACACATCTCAACCTGTGGATGTTTAAGTTTGAGCTTCGTAGATCAGATACTTTATCATCTGAGCTCAAAGACTTTTCAAGACGATTGGTTTCACAGCCACAGTCAATCTACTGTCCAATATGACAGACTCTGGATCAGTGGCATGATGAGAAACCACAGAGAACATCTCAGGTTTTATCTTTAACAGAGATGTTGTTGTTCAAACAGCCTCAGATTTAAAAATAAATGAAATTACCTCTGACAGTATTTGATCTATGAAATATCTTTATAAACATCGATATAAAACTTTCAGGCAGACCAGAGACGCCTGAGCAGGAAGTGTTTTATGTTTGTGATGATTTTGCGAACGTCTGTTCACATCTAAAGCAGAAAATAAACATGTTTCAGAACGTCAGAACCACGCCAGAGAGCTCATCAGAGAGATTTCGCTCCCGGAGTGGGACGGCATCATCATCGTTTCTGGCGACGGCCTGCTGCACGAGGTGAGCTCAGCGGCTCTGGGATGTGCCGTTGACTTCATGCCGATACGATCCACTAAAGACTCCGTGTCGTGTCCCTGCAGGTGATCAACGGGCTGATGGAGCGCCCGGACTGGGAACAAGCAATAAAAACCCCCGTCGGCATTCTGCCCTGCGGCTCTGGGAACGCGCTGGCTGGATCCATCAACCACCACGCAGGGTAGGGCTGCACCCAGCATCAGCATCACAGCAGATCAACTCAGACACATCGGGCTGCATACAGAAAGCAGCTTCAACGACTAAAGTCTCTCTGATAGAACACGACTACGTTTAAAAGTTTGCTGGCGTGCGCTCTGCAAAATGAGCGAGGAGCTGGAAAAAGGACTTTTGACTCAGTTGGACGGAGATGTTTCAGCCACTGAAAGGCCAAAGTGAAGTAAAAACAATGAATTGTCATCATTTAAATCAGCAGCAGATCTGACTGACATCAAGACAAACTCTATTTTTGATGTTTGTCAGAGTTACGCCACATGAAGAAGTGTCCCAGCTGGTTTTTTTTATTTATTTTATGTAGATGTGCTCCGTAAAAACTCCTCAGTTACTCTGGAGTGATTCATTCTTTGCAAATGTAGTTATTAAAGCCATCTGCTGGACGTTCCTGTATTTTTCTCTGTACTGACTCACAGAGAAACTAAATATTTGTGTGTTTTTTCTGATGTTGTGCGGCTCCACACAGGTTGACGTTTATATCTGTAAATCTTGTGTTAAAAATGTTCTTCCAGCTCAGTTTCAGGAGTGAAATCAGACGAAACAAGAAGTATTTTCATCGTGCAGACTTTGGATTGTGTTGGATTATTGTAACTGTAAACATTTTGAATAGTTTATCACCATTTAAAGAGGGGGTTTACACATAAATATCGACTCAAAGGTCTGATATGAGGGTTTATTAGTGAGGTGAACCTTATTCCCAGTGTTTTCCTTGAACAGAGAGCCAGTTGCCGTCCTGCTTATCTGTCTGTGTATCAGGCTGCTGTTTGTACAGTTCGTTATCTCTCCTGACGGCAGGTTGTTTGTCTCGGTCGCCTCCCTCAGGTATGACATGTGCCTTCGAGAGCCCCTCCTGTTGAACTGCTGCTTCCTGCTGTGCCGAGGCGGCGTCCGACCCATGGACCTGGTCTCCGTCACCACCAGCCCCGCCGCCTCCAACAGCAGCCGAGCGGCGGCGCCCAGGAGACTGTTTTCCTTCCTCTCGGTCGCCTGGGGCTTCGTGTCCGACGTTGACATAGAGAGCGAGAGGTAGGAACCGCTCTGTGGCACGCTGGTTTAATATTTAACAGCCAATTAAGTTCAACTGCAGCCACCTGATATTATTAATGGATGTCTGTAATTCAGCTCCGCAAACACAGCAGGACGCTGCAACCGGCAGCACGTACGGCAGCTGTTCTACTGCTAGTCAAAGATACCTGAGGACCCACACGA